TAGCTTCTTTGTTTAAAGTGATGTTATTCACTACTTTGAAGAGACCTTTGCTCCTTCTTGCTTTAAAATATAGATTTCAAATTATACTTCCTAGATGTCTCAGTTACAACACACTGTCACGTGCTGCTAGGGAAGACCCGATGTTTGTGAAGCCAGAACATTGTACAGTACAAGGAGGGTGCTGTTTACAACAAAGAATGAATATTGAGAATAGGAAGTTAGGACAGTCTTCTAAAGAGCCTGTGCAATGAGTCCCAAAGGTGTCCTTTCAGTGATCATCAGTGCAGAGCTAAGGATGCAGAATCTCACAGCTCAGTGCAGAGTGGGGTTGGATCTGCAGTTTGGAAGTTTTCTATATTATTCAAATTGTGAACTGTGGTTTCATATCATAATTCTGAATACACAGCACATGTGCCCTGTCTCCTCATTTCACTTTCATTGCAGACGTTACCAATTTACATTCTTCCCTGCACAGCTAATAGGAAAACACATAATCAAGCACAACACTGCTTCCACAGCTGGCTAGCTGGGGAGATAAATTAGCTTCGTTTAGAACTGTTTGGTATAGATATTGCCAGTAGGCAATGTAATCTTTGGGGATTTGGCCAAGAGTTGGAGAGAAATGCTGAACGCCTTGAAGGTGCAAATAGCGGCCATGACGTTTTTACACAAAGATTGAGTAGAAGGTCTAAGAGAAGAGACTGGCTCAGCAGCCATGAGATATCAACTCTGGAAAGCACATGCCTAGTAACAAAGGCAATCAGAGATGGAAGAAAGCATAAAATAAAAAATACAATAATTAAAACTGCATGGTAGAATGCAATCTTCCAAGAGCTCTTTAAGAATCCACTTAGCATCTTCTGAAGGTTGAAACGGGAACAGCATAAATTATATTCAGTTACACCCAGAAAACAAAAGGTATTTTCACCAGTATGTTCATTAAGAGATATATTGCAGAGAGTTCTCCAGACAGGAAAACCACAGCAAGAAAAGTGCTGGGCATCTGAGTTCTTAGCTTAACAGAGGCGGTTTTCAGTCGTGTGGCTTGTGACGCTCACTTTCCCTCTTGCCTGGGCCATGATTTTCTCTCCTGTGACAGTACTGCTTCTTGAAACCTTAGTAATCAGCCTCACTTGGAAAAGATCTCAGCATCAGCTTTTACTCACAAGAGCAAGCTATTTAACCTATGATGAACTTAGAATTAAATGAGAAAAGTTGCTGTCATGACTTTACTAAATATCATTTTCCCATTTATATTCAAAGCCTTTGCCAGTTTATCTTAAACTGGTATTTTCTGAAATCATAGATCTGAAATATAAAACATGTTTATTTACTGCTCTTTCATAATTGCAAAGGGCTTGTCCATAGTATTCACTTACTTGTTCATTCAGCATGAAAATGACTATGGATTTTCTAAAGCCAATAAATGCTTTCAAAAAATAATGTTGGCTATTTATTTTTAAAGGATTTCTTATATGATGTTAGCACATAACCACAAGTTATATGTATTTAAAACTACAAGTCACAATGGAAACTTGACCATTTTTCTTTTAAAAGTTCATCTTATTTTCCACTTGAACTCTTAATATGCTGTTAAGTGGATATGTTGATCTGAAAGACTGGGGAATAAGCTTCATTTTATTTAAGGGAATCACCTCTGAGGAAACACACCATCAGTTTGAGAACAAATCAAAGCAATTCTTTCTACTACATCAATTCGAAATTGGCTTTGTTCTTTACCAACATTGGAATTGGAGTAAAAAGCTATGACCCACCTTTTTGGAGTATATTAAGTTAATTATAATTATAAAAAATCAGATGCTCAGTTTTGTTGGACGTAGTCCATGTCATCATCCTATGATGATATGGAGAGCAGGTTTTCACTATTTACACATACACAAGTTTATGGGAAGAACTTGAAAGGAATGTGTTGAAATAAAAACACAGACTCTTAAAGATGGTTGCACCCTGTGTTTACAGTGAGAACATTTAACTACTTGACTGGCATGAATATTAAATATTCATGTTCTCTAAGGTCCACCATAGTGCTTCATTTAAAAGCACTCTTGGGTAGGAAAAGGCACTTGGTGCTTCTGTAGACACTAATTGTTCTTGTGTACAAATTACAGAATGTGACTCCTTAAATTTACCATAGAATTGCTTCAGGAGTCCTACTTAGAAAGCACTTAATTTTCCATACAAATTACAAATGTGACTTTTTAAATTTACCATAGAATTGCTTCAGGAGTCCTACTTAGAAAGCACTTAATTTTCAGCAGAGTGTGGTGGCCCAGGTCTGTAATTCCAGCACTTAGAAGGTAGAGGCAGGCAGGAGGATCAGGAGCTCAATGCCAGACGTGAAGTTTGAGGCTGAACTGTGCTGTGTGCAATAACTGCTTCAAAAACAAAATCTATCAATCAAACGAACATAAAAGCACTGAATACTTCTATGGAATACCTTTATGATTCTAGTTGAAAATAAATAGAATATAATAATGGGATGGACATATTTTGTCCACTTTGTTAAATGACTTCTTTTAAGCAATGATGTCAAGTGTTTCAAATTCAGAGCAGATTTAAGTAACAAGTGAGTGACAGTGTGGTAGGCATGGTAACCAAACAACATTAGAGAAGAGGCCTCTCTTCATGGTTATGACAAGCACGTGAACCTTACTTAACATCATGAATATTTTATCTAAGTACTAAGTATTCAAATCCAATACTTACAGTTTATCTATAGCCATAGACTTAACATGAGTTTTTGCCTGAGCATAACTTTGTACCTCTAGTTTTGCGTAATGTTTTAATTTGTTTATTTCTAATGATTCAGATTCACTACTATATTTTCATACACAAAACAGCTTCAGTGACATTTCTTTTATGTCTATTCTTGTTTCTTTTTTGCTGTTGTCATACAAGGGACTGACTTATTTCCATTTTCTCCACCTGCATTTAATTTCTTGATAATCCATGATCATTTTATATTTTCACTATAATAACTAAGTTATATTCAGTCAGGTTGTAAGAGAGGTAGAAAATTTCTAAATTAACTTGATTTTATCTTTACTTAACCTCCTGTCTACCATTTGCAGTTCATGTTAATATTAGATATAGTTTATTTTGTTTTTATCAATCCAATCAATATTTTTTTATTCAAAACTTGAATAGCTAAAAGTAACTACTTTATAAATATCAATAAATATTATGTTAGGGGGGGTCTTTGAAGTGTCACGTGTTACTTTAGTAGAAAAGAATTAACAGCAAAGGATACAGCTGTAGAATAAACGAGGTAAGAGCAGTCACTGCCCCTGGTGATGGAATGGATGCAGCTGTAGGATTCTACCATGTTTGAAATCAGCTGCTTCCAGCAGGTTCTTAGGAGCTGTCAGAGATGTGTTCATCATTCTCAGGCTCTGACATTTCAAATGCTAAAGCTAGATGGAATGAGAATGTGGTTGGTACCCAAGGTTGGGAAGAGGAAGCAGAAGGTGCTGGGGAGAAGTTCAGTCATTCCGTGCTAAGTTACAGGTAGACAAGGTGACTATGGCTGACCACTAAGTCCTGCACATTTCAAAAAATGTACCAGAAAAATAATGTAAATGTTTTTTACTTCAAATACATATAAACATTTGAAAAGATAGAGGTGTTTATGCAGTTTTCATTTATCAATTAAAATAGAACAGCAAAACAAAATTACTGTGATGATCCAAAATTTGAAACTCGTAAGTAGAAAGTATTAAATGTTGAAGAAATTTCTTTGGGTTTTGAAAAGACATAAAAAGTCTCATGCAATTAGGAAAAAATATAGATATTATTTAAA